AAGCCGGTGGAGAAGATCAAGAATGTGAAAAATGGGCTTACACAAACTAATAATATATGTTTAGTGAAGGGTTTGGATAAATGCTTAATTTGCTTAAGTTTGATAAAGAAATCAGCAGGGTGTGCATCAGGCATCAAAGGAGGAAATTTTCTTTAGAAGCATAATTACGATTGGTTTGTACTAGTTCAGAGATATCATTGTACTTGGATCACTATAAAGTTTCAAATCATTTTAGGGGGAAGGTAGATAAAAAGGAGAATTTGTACAGTTTGCAGCCGCTTGAATACGAGCTCGACTCGAGCTCGGTCAATATCAAACTCGAGTCGAGCTCGAGCTAATTAAGTCGAGATCGAGTTCAAAAATATTAAGCCTTGCTCGCGAGCTCGATTATATATTTTTTTATTTTTTATTTTAATAGTAAAATTACATATATATCTCTAATATTTTATTATTTATTAAAAAATTATTATTTTATTCATTTTTAAAAATAAAAATAATTATTTTTTTAAAATAAAAATTATTTTTTTTAATTTTTTAAACTCAAGCTCGAGTTCGAGCTGCATGAAATTAACTGGAGGCTCGACTCGATAAACCAAAAACTCGACTCTGACTCGACTCGTTTGCACCTCTAATTTACATCTTTGGGGGCAATTAATGTAGATAAAATGCAAATTTTGCAAAAGTTAAGGGGTCCGAGGACAAATCCTCCTTTAGGACCGTGTCGGTGTCAACTTGCTGTGAAGGTTACAAACTTACAGTTGTCTTGACGGAACCAGCGATTCATTTGACTTCTGTGGAGGTAAGTAGCCTTCATCATCAATTTGCCACTCGTTCAAGAGATGAGATGTTACATATTGTCGGTTAGCAGGAGAGCTCAATTAGATTCGAATGCACCCTTACATATTGATTTCTCAATAATTTCACCAAATTTAATAAGATTTTGAATCACTCCACTCACAATCAATCAATTGTTGCATGGACCTGAGTTTCCCTGTCTCACACCAATTAAAGTTCCTAATTCTCTTGTATTTAGAATGGTCTTCGAAAATTTCCACTAAAATGTAAATGAAAAAATAAAATTAAGAACATGAAAGAACTTTAAAGGACCAAAGTTAATTAAGCAAAAAAAAAGAAAAAAAAATTGAGAGAACTGTGGATGTATTATAAAAGTGTTGTTCTACTTTTGATGATCATTCTTGGGAGGCAAAGTTTTATTCTGTCTTCATTTTGAAAATTTATGTCACGTGTATTGAGATAATTTGTGAACTCTTAAGTATCCATAGTTATTTCATCACCTCAACGTGAACCTACCTACTTTTGCCAGTAAAATTTTCAAGGTTCAAGCATGCTTGAAGATAAATATTTCAAGAAATCAACCAACAAGAGTGATTGTATAGAAGATTATTTAAAATATTTTTTAAAATAATTACTGTAACACTTGTGTTATATGATATATGTGAGATAAAAAGAAAAAATTAAAAAGATAAAAACATATTTAAAAATATATTTGTGATGCAAACAAATATTTTTTGCCAAATAATGGTACATCCAAACACAACCACATCTCTAGTCTTTAACTAATTTAGTGGGCCTTAAGAATGTGTGTTTGGACACAAAATTTTTCGAAGAAAATACGGTTTTAATCTGCAATGTTTAGTCTTTGTGCAGTTTTACTCCTTAAATTTTTGACAAAAGAAAATCTAGTCTTCAATGTTTAATGCATGTGTAATTTTAGTTCCCAAAGTTTTGGTAAGAACAAATTTGATCCTTAATAGATCCAATTTAAAGCATATTTAGGACATTTGAAGAATTTTTCCTAATTAGTGACAGAATTTAATCATATCTAGTGATATGTACATTAAATTATATTTCAGAATAAAGAAGCAAAATAATAGCTGACTTTAAACCACAAAAATTAAGAAGTAATAACTCACATGCTAATTAATTGGCTACTAAGTAGAAGAAAAATTTTTAAACTATAAAAACTAAAACTAGTCGGAACATTCAGTTCATTGATCCAGAACTCATTTTCACTCTCCATCCCCACAGCCTGAAGCAAAAAATAATAGCAATATTTAATTTTTTTTCATATAGATTAATAATTTTTTTTGTTTCTTAGTTAATTTAGTTATTAACATGTTATCACATGAGTTATTCTTATGCTTCAAAATTACTCGTTATTTTGTTTCTTTTTCAAGGAGTTTAATTCAGCAAACACGTGGCTACACATGATTGATTCCATTAATATAAGAGAACCACTGATGACTTTTATCTAACTTACTGGTAAGCTTTACAAATTTGAAGCAGTTCTTCCTCAAAAAATAAATAAATAAAAAAAGCCTTTCTTCCAAATTCTCATTATTCAATATTCACTAGTTCTAGAAAGGTTTGGAAGAACCACCAGCTCTTGGGCTGGTGGCCACCACCAAGCCCACCAAGCCCTTTAAGGCTTTGGTGGGGTGGGAGGCAAGGGTTCACCAAATATGCCACTCTTGTGGCTCTGCTTCAAATCCAAACGGGCGTGTAGTGCACCCGTCTGATCCGATGGTGGTTCTGTCCCCATCGGTCTCATAGGCTCAATTGAGCCTATAAAAAAAAAATAGAAAACATCATGGAGAAAACTGTGTACTATATGTGTTACTTTCAGTATTTTACCAAAAAGTTGTATACATTTTACCTGCGGTAAGACTTTACTTTCATTATCATCTTCTTCTTTTCTTTTCTTTTCTTTTTTTAACCTTGGTTTTTAAATAAAATTGGAGAAAGTTCCTGCACGTCTAAGATTGTATTTTTGGAAATTTTGTCATTAATACCCATCTGCTTAATTAGGCCCTTCTTATATTATCATTAATTGTAAATGTTGCTATATTTCATTGTGAGAATTAAAATTCATCAAGTGTATATAATTTTACTGCACATATATCTCACTTTATGCTATAATAGATAAATAAAATTCTCTGACTGTTGCTAACAAAAATTCTTATGTAATTTCTATTTTGCAAGTTCTTAGTTGAAATTAGCCCGTAGATGTTATATTTTCTTTGAAAAACATCTACTGTTTCTAGAATTAATGTTTTTTCTTCTTGTGCCAGTGTAAAAAGTTTTTTACACGACTGGATCTAATCTCATGACACATATTCTTCATTCACATTAAATTTTCCACTTCGATACATTTACTTATATCTAGACCTATTAGTGTAAAGAATTTTTCACTACTATGAATGTATGAAACATTTACTTCTTATTTCTAAAGGACAACTAAGGTTGATTGCACCTTTTCCAATCCTCAAGATTGGTTCATTTTCATATGTGGCTTTAATTCTCAATGCCTCTGTTCCAATCTCTTCCAGCTAATTTCTCAATCTATGTATAGAAAACAGCAATAGTTCCATACCAAAAGTATTTTACAGAAGCCAATCCTAAACAACTGGAAAGGGCATGTGAAGCATATTTTCAATCACCTATCTAACTTTTTTTGACCTATTTTTTCTCATTTTTGAGAATTTATATTCTAGAGATGCCAGGTTTAATTTTGTCAGCCATTGGCATTATTTGAATTTAAATACACATTATAATTAGTAAAGGTGATGTATTATATGATTATTGCTAACCATATTTAAAGTCCTATTTCTTTTGATAATTTTAGCAAAAAAATTCTCTGGTCTTCGATTCTGTTGGCAGTTGGCACAAAAAACACACACAGATTCTTTTATGGCCTTGTGAGCTTTTTTTTTTTTTTTTTTTTCCGTTGCTTTCGTGATTCTCAAAGCTAATAAAACATACTCCCTCCGTCCCACTTTGATAGTCCTGTTTCTTTTTCACACAGTTTAAGAAAAAGTAGTTAATTTTGTTGGAAAAGTAAATTTAGATTGCTATTTTCCTAAAATACCCTCACATTAAATATGGTACAACTTTATGAGAACTTGAATTGATGGTAAAAAAAGAATCAACTCTCATTAAATGGGGTAGGTTTATAGTAACAACTACTTACATTGAATAAGGGTATTTTAGGAAAATTAAAATACAACTACATTTTTCAATTGGAAAGTAGACTACAAATTGAGACAGATGAAAAAGGAATACAGGACTATCAAAGTGGGACGGAGGGAGTATGAATTATTAAGATTTTTGCCATGTGTCTCTTGAATTTAGAATGCCAGGTTCAAATCTCAAGATTATCTGTTTTATTTTCAGGTTGAAAGCTCAATTTTATCATATTGCATTGCTCAAATAATTCTCTATTATCCCAAAAGTTCTATCTATATATGTTTCTGTCTATCCAAACTTTAATTTCTTTCATTCATCATATGCATGCAACTGAATCTGCAAATGGTATATGTATAAGACTGATAAGAAAAACCAAAATCCTGTCCATTATTTAACAACTTTCTCAAGATAGCAAGTGATATTGAAGCAGGATTCCCATAAGAGAACCAAGAGAATTTTCATGTGGGATGAGCAGGAACATTTGAGAGAAGAAGAAAATTGTATAAGTTGCTAGATTGAGGGCCTAAAACTTAAGCAAGGAGAAGAGAATTACTGAATCTGGAAGATATATAATAAGTTCTTAATACTGTCACAAAACATATTTTCTTGCTTTTAAATCAGCTCAGGATTTTGTCATTCTACGGCAGCTATGACCATTTCAAATCCAAACTCCGGCAGCAGCTCCATTTCTTGACTGGTTCAAGAAGGAAGACAAATGTGTTTCAGAATTAAGTTTAGATGATCATGCAACATTATTCAAGAAAACAACAACTTTTATCTCCAATTTCTTTCGGCAGAGAATGAATTCAAAGAAAAGAAAGACAATCAAATGAGATGTGTTTCCATTGAACAAGCATGAACATTTTACATTTGCTGTGGCATAAACTGAAAAATGTCCGAAGACGTTCCTGACACAAGTAAAAGAGCACTGCGCGAGACTTGATGCGTCATGCACGCAGGATAGAGTAATAGTAAAACTCATTTTGGTAGCATAACTGCCGTGGAAAACTTCTTTATCGGCCACCGCCGCCTCCGGTACCAGAACCAGTGCCCACTCCAACTGCACTGCCACTACCAGTACCAATGCCAATGCCAACCCCAACCCCTACGCCAATACCAAATCCTCCACCATGGCCACCTCCTAAACCTCCGCCTGCTCCACCACCTAAACCTCCTCCAGCTCCACCTCCAATGCCACCCCCGGCACCAAAACCACCACCGTGCCCTGATCCACCTCCTACTCCTCCACCACCGCCTCCTCCGAATCCTCCACCACCTCCAACACCTCCACCGGCCCCACCTCCTATGCCACCTCCTGCACCAAATCCACCACCTTGGCCAGATCCTCCTCCAATGCCTCCACCACCTCCTCCTCCTCCCCCGCCACCTCCACCTGCTCCTCCTCCAAGGCCACCACCTATTCCACCACCTGCGCCAAATCCTCCTCCCTGTCCGGAACCACCCCCAACACCCCCTCCTCCTCCACCACCACCTCCACCTCCACCTCCACCTACTCCACCAAGTCCGCCACCTACGCCACCTCCAGCTCCGAATCCTCCACCATGACCTGAACCGCCGCCAATGCCTCCTCCGCCTCCACCACCACCACCACCTCCACCCCCTCCTCCTGCTCCAATACCCCCCGCACCCCCGCCTATTCCTCCACCAGCTCCAAAACCGCCTCCATGACCTGATCCGCCACCAAGGCCACCTCCAATGCCACCACCTCCACCTTCTCCTGCTCCTCCACCACCACCACCACCAAGTCCTCCTCCTGCACCTACCCCAGCTCCAAAACCTCCACCATGGCCCAACCCACCTCCAACACCACCACCTCCGCCACCACCAAATCCTCCGCCTCCACCAACACCGCCACCAGCACCCCCACCAACGCCACCCCCTGCTCCAATCCCTCCGCCTTGCCCAGCACCACCACCTAGACCTCCACCTCCACCCCCTCCAAAACCTCCTCCTCCACCTACTCCACCTCCAGGTCCTCCTCCAATACCTCCTCCAGCACCTGCACCTCCACCAAACCCTCCACCACCCCATCTTCTTCCCCATCTATCACGCCTACCAAAGCAGCCCCTCCTACCAAATCCACAATCATCATCACCCCACCTCTCTTTCTCAAGCTTGCCATCCCCTAGAGCAGTTATACTTAAGTCAAAAACAACGCTGAAGAGAAGAAGAAATACACAAAATCGTTTTTGAGAAGAACCCATATTGCTAAACACTATCTATAACACTTCACTTTGATTTGCTCTGCAACCTTCTTGGACTGCCTGCCTTTATATAGCATTCCGTCTTACTGGAAGAATTGATAGCAAAATGCATGGTAATGCAGCGCGTTTGAACCGTTGGGGAGATGTGGCGGGAACATTAAATGACAATAATACGATATAAATATTCAAAGTCAATTTGACTCAATTGAATTGCATGTAGACTATTGAAGCTTGTAGTCAACTCTACCGACATTGATAACTATGCCATTTATTCCAATGGACCAATGGCCTCCAATTTGCTCCCATGCAGGTTCTTTACGTAATTATTCACTCTTTTCTTTTGTTATTTCTTTTTCTGCTTCTGGTCAGTTTCTATCCGGTGGGGGGAGTTCTTTAGCGCTTTGACATGTAAATTGCTTCTGGAAGAGATCTTTTTCATGCATATATGATTGAAGAATGGATTTTAAAAAAAGAATGTTTTTTGAGCCATGATGGTTGACAATGTTAGTTTTCTTTCTTCATAAATTTATGATAAACAGACATAATTTCTTATGAGACACTGCTAGTGCATGAGTGACCATTGAACAACTTTCTTGTGTTATGATCTGATTGCCATTAGGGAAAAAATTGAACTGAAAAGGACTTAGACAGTTTACATGTTTGTGAGGAATAGTGGTGGTTTTGAATCCTCAAAAAAAAAAAAAAAAAAAAAAAAAGAATAATGGTGAAGAACAATTATTGACCTATCTTGGAGCTATCATTTTTCAGCTTAGATGGGATTAGTCGACTGCAAAAAATTTCGATCGTTAAAGAATAAGTCAACAGGCACATCTTTGTCTGGCCAACACCCACTGATCCAAGGGGAAAAAAAACCACTGATCGACCTTGTTCTTATTCTTATGTTTTACATTTCACTTGTCTAATGATCATAGTTTCTTTTAATTCTGACGAAAATTTTATCTTATGCAGTCCTAGCAAACTCAGTTACGTTATTGTATATGATTGTCTCTTATTTTTAGTAAACCTTATGATCTCCTAAAGATGGCACGTCTGATGCGTTGCTTTAGCTTCGAATTACTTCTTATATTAGATGCTTTTGTGAAGTTGCATAGGATAAAATATACGTTGTAGCTCTTCTGATGGGGCCATTGTAAACATTTTTTATTTTTTCGAAGACCAATTATGGAGACCGGAACATTCATATTTGCAAAATTAAAGAGGTAAGTTGGGGATTTGGGGTAAGTAAAAGTTGGTTTTGAAAATATTAAATTATTATGACAAGATGGGTTACATTTACAAATTCTTAAAATTTAGGGGCTCATGGGATTTCATACTTCAAAGGATAGTGTCCAAAATTGAACTTTAAGAATTGAAATTGATGAATTTTTTATTACAGGGGTTCAAAGTGTCCAAGATTAAAAATTAAGAACAAAAGTGACAATGCACATATAATTTAAGGATTCAAAGTAAAATTTTAAGCCATACTATGGTTGGTAGTATGTGAGAAAAAAAAATTCAAAAATTTTCAGCCTGTGTAAAACTGTGAAACAGAAGGTCAGTTTCATTTGCTAGTTACGGTATTTTTGTCCATATTTGTAGGAGGAAACTTTGAGACCCCTAAACTATTCACTACTATTCACTTTGCACGATTTTAATCCCTCAACTATAAATTGTCACAAATAAACCCTTAGATTTAAAAAAAATGATTAGTTTATTGACTTTCGTCAATTTTGGGCGTTAAATGTAATGGAATTAGGGGCAAAATCGATCAAACAGAAAATCAGCCTGTGATTTAATTAAAAATCAACTAATAACATGGAATTTGATGTTTCTTCCTCTTCTTTCATCTTCCATCTTCTTTAGCCCTAATTTGATGAAATAATCAGTCAACGAGACCTTATAGATTGTTTTCGTGGATTTTTTTTTTTTGTTTGGTCAATTTTGCCACTAATTCCTTCATCTCTAACAGCCAAAATTTACTGAAGTCCTTAAACTATGCATTTTTTTTGTTTATAAATGGGGAATCAAAACCTTAGAAAGGCAATAATTTAGAGGTTGTCGAGAAAGTTTCCTCTATATGTAATCTACTATTTGTACTCAAGTTCATTTTCTATCATTTTAAACATATTCAGATGGTCTATTATTTGCAAAGTTTATATGATTATGTAAAGGCATCTTGCAGAAATATAGTTGATTAAACTGGTGTTGAGGTGAAAGGGATTATAAGTAATAGATTCTGAATTCAAAACCTCTCACTTATAAAAAAAAAAAAAAAAAAACTGCCATTAAAGCACCTTATCAATTTTGATTTTTTAAAAGAAAGTTTTGAAATATTGATTAATATGTCATACATTCAAACATGACCACTTGAGATGAAGAAACTTGAGTGTATCGAATATAACCTATTAAAAAAGGTCATTTGCAATTTCGGGGAAGATGTTTCTTGGTCTTTACTATTTTTATTGGAAGGCAGTCGAAACAAAGAACAAATTGCTATATTAGTTCCTAAAAATTATAATACAGATGATTTAGTCCATTAGTTTATGGATGATAATCAATGATCCTTAATATTCAACGAGCCGAGTCGAAGTTCTTCCCTCCTGTAAATCTAGAAACAACTTCATCAATGACATCCCCGCAAAACAAAAATAAAAACATATCACATATATTTTTTTTAAATACATATATGTGCACCTCCCAACCGCCTGTATAAATATATGAATCATAAGCTGTCATCTCGAACAAATAAGCGAGTACAGTATCTGGTCAGTTGAACTTATCTTCGATCGCCAGTGTACACTGTGGATCAATAGATAGAGGGATAATTCGGAATTCCTCCCCTAACGTTCATGACAATTAGAGACAGTACCCTCTAGGTTTGAAATATTACATTTACCTCCCCTCATGCTTCAAAATGACAAGAATGACCACATTTAGGCAATGAGTCGAACATTTTTGTGTTAATGCAAGTAATGGACTCTAATTTGAATTTACAAAATAGTAACAAAAATATTTAGGAAAAATAAGAAGACAATTTTATCCAAATTACCTCAAATCCCTTCTTAATCCTAGCACCTATTCTATGACCCAAATAGCTCCACGGTCATATTCTTCTCCCAACATTGCCATTATTCTCCATTCTTTACCACCGTCACCACTTCTTTCTCAAAAAAGACCCTCTTGAATGAATTTTTCATGTAAGGAATAAGGTAATGGAGATGGTGTTTGTGATGTTTTGAAGGGGAAATTAGGTAATTAGAGTTAATGGGAAGATAGAAGGATGAACTTCGTGTCTGGTTTTCAAGGTATGTTTACAGAGGTTAAAGGATAGGTGATTTAAGGAGATCAAATGGCAAGAAATTTAAGTTGCTAGTAGAGCAATGCATTTCTATCTCGGATGGGTGTGGAAGTCGAGGAACGTAAGAAGAAGGGGTGGTGGAAATTGGTGAGCTTTTAGCATTTTGTTCAAACTTTGGAAAAAAAAACCGAAAAATCGCCCAATCCAATCTAGATTAGATTCCGGATTTCAATAAAATGGAATTCAGTAAAATCAAAATATATCCGGTTATAATTTTTGGTAAAGCAGTTTGGGAATGGATACGAAGAATACATTACAGAATTATCGATTACCTACCAAATTTTTGAAACTTTTATAATATAATGGTATATATATTAGTTATGTATATATGTATACATATTACTAAATTCTAATTAGTGATGACTAATTAGTTAACTACTAACTACTAACTAGTAGTCCAGTAAAATATTACTACCTAAATTGATTGAATTTTATTGGAAAAAATATATGGGATATTATTTTGATGAAATAAATTTTTTAGAGAAAATTAAAATATTTTGATTTATTATTGACATTTCGGAGTTTGAATATTACCGAACTACTGATCTTTCAACCAAAATCCAATTATCAAATTAAAATTTGGACAGTTATCAAATATTGATCTTAAAAAATCGATTCCTGAATTCCCAAAATTTCTTTTACCGAATTCTCGAATACCGCCCGTGAACACCCCGAAGCAGTATCTCTTACATCCAAGCGCTGGCTTTCCGACTTGAACAGGTCAAACCTACAGCAGAACGGCTCAAGACAGCATTCAGTACACGGACAGGGGTATGGTCATTAGACCAAGTCAATCTCTTGCCATTAACTACTGGAAATGACAAAATCTTCCGACCATTGGTTAGGAAAGTCAACTAATGGCCCATGTCGACTTTTGAGAACGGTACCAGTAGCCGGTAGCCATTATGTGACGCATTGATGGCAAAACACGATTCTGAAAATTTCAAATCGGGAGGAATTGAAACTTCAAAAAAAAAAAAAAAAAGAGGTTAAGGACTGTAAATTCAGTGTTCTAGTCAATCAAAGGCCAAACGTGGAAGTTACCAAAATAATAATACATTGCAATAGGGTAAAAAACGTAAAGATATGCTCTTATGGAATATCAGAGAATAGGAAATTGATTTTAAAATCTGTTGAAAATCGAAGGATTTCAAAATTTAGAAATTATCATATCTCAGATAGTTGGTACAGAAGAACACTAGAACTCTCTCAATCCAAAATTAAAACAAGCTTTTTAAGCACACATAAATCTTGTGATCTGTCAGTATAATGGGTGCTATTGTTGATGAGGTCCGGCATGCATGTGTTGTGCTAGCTTGGGAAAATATTACAAAATATTATGAAACTTAAAATTTTGCATTGAAATGGGGTTTGTCTTTCCGTTGCTTTCGGTAGCTTGAACATTGTACATAGATAGAAATTATATTGGGTTAACCTTTTTGTACATGGTCAGTATAATAATTTTTTTTTACATAAGCAGATTTAGATCACGTTTCATAATATGAATTTAAATTTGAAATTCAAATCATACACATATGACATACATTCAAATTTACCAGTGTAAAAAAATTCAGTACAATATTGGTGCGTAAAAAGTTAATCCATTGTATTATGTGTTTGAGTCTTTCTCTTGTAAAGATTT